AGTGCTGTGACAAACATACACATGCATGTGTCTTTATAGTAGAACGATTTATATTCATTTGGGAATATACCCAGTAATGGGATTTCTGGGTTGAATGGTAGTTCTATTTTTAGTTGCTTGGGAAATCTCTAGACTACTTTGCACAGTGGCTGAACTAATATACATTCCTACCAGCAGTGTATAAGCATCCCCTTTTCACTGTTCCCTCACCAGCATCTGTTATTTTTTGACTTTTGAATAATAGACATTTTGACTGTTGTGAGATGGTGTCTTATTGTGATTTCGATTTGCATTTCCCTAATGATTAGTGATATTGAGCATTTTTTCGTATGCTTGTTGATCATGTGTATATCTTCTTTTGAGTAGTGTCTGTTCATGTCCTTTGCCCATTTTTTTAATGGGATTGTTTTTCTGCTTGTTGATTTAGTTCCTTATAGATCCTGGATATTAGACCTTTGGAAGATGCATAGTTTACAAATGTTTTCTCCCACTCTGTAGGTTGTCTGTTTACTCTGTTGATAGTTTCTTTTGCTGTGCAGAAGCTCTTTAGTTTCATTAGGTCCTACTTGTCAATATTTGTTTTTACTACAATTGCTTTTGGTGTCTTCATCATGAAGTCTTTGCCAGGGCTGATGTCTAGAATGGTATTTCCTAAGTTTTCTTCTAGGGTATTTATCATTTTATGTTTTACATTTAAGTCTTTAATGCATTTTGAGTTGATTTTTGAAGGGTAAAGGTCAAGTTTCAATCTTCTGCATATGTCTAGTCAGTTATCCTAGCACCATTTATTGAATAGGGAGTCCTTTTCCCATTGCTTGTTATTGTTAACTTTGTTGAAGATCAGATGGTTGTAGGTGTGTGGCTTTATTTCTGTGTTCTTTATTATGTTCCATTGGTCTGTGTGTCTGTTTTGTACCAGCACCATGCTGTTTTAATTACTATAGCCTTGTAGTATAGTTTGAAGTCAGGTAGTGTGATGCCTCCATCTTTGTTCTTTTCACTTAAGATTGTTTTGGTTATTTGGGCTCTCTTTTGGTTCCAAGTGAATTTTAGAATTTTTATTCTAGTTTTGTGAAAAACATTGCTAGTACTTTAATAGAATAGCATAGAATCTGTAAACTGCTTTGGGCAGTATGACCATTTTAACAATATTGATTCTTCCTATCCATGAGCATGGAATGCTTTTTCACAATCTTAATTTTTAAGAGGGCAGAATTGAGAACAAAATTGATTTTAAAAGATAAAAAAGCACACCTAATAATAGTAAAGGTTAAAATTCACTGGGAATACATTATCTGTTAATACTTGTGTACCTAATCACACAACAAAAATGTAGTTTGTTTGGTTGGTTGGTTGGTTGGTTGGTTGGTATTTTTTTTTCTTTTCTTTTTTTTTTTTTTTTTAGATGGAGTCTCACTCTGTCACCCAGGCTGGAGTGCAGTGGCTTAATCTCGGCTCACTGCAACCTCCGCCTCCCGGGTTCAATCAATTCTCTGCCTCAGCCTCCTGAGTAGCTGGGATTACAGGCGCCCGCCACTACGCCTAGGTAATTTAGTAGAGACCAAGACCATCTTGGCCAGGCTGGTCTTGAACTCCTGACCTCAGGTGAGCCACCCGCCTCAGCCTCCCAAAGTGTTGGGATTACAGGCGTGAGCCACCGCACCCGGCCAAAAATGTAATTTTATAGAGGAAAACTGCAGGAGCAGCAATGAGATATATGAAAAATCATACTAATACCTGAGGCTGTCAAGCTTGGGCCCAAATGCAAATACAGATTAAAATTGTAGAATGCAATGAGAATAATGAAAATAAAAACAGAGCATATCAGAATTTACAGCTAGAGCAGTGTTCAGATAATATTTTTATGCATTACATAGCTATATCAATAAAAAGGAATTAAACAATCAATTCAAAATGCCAGATAAAGAACCACAACATAAATTAAAAGAATGTAGTTGAAAGGAATAAAGGTTTAAACAGAAATGTATGGGTTGAAAAGGCAAACTACAGTAGAATTTATATGTAAAAGTAAGGAAGATTTATTTGAGGAGATACCAAAAACATGAAAAGTCACTGGGTAAATTATTCAAGAAAATTGAAGAAAACACAAATACACAATTTTGAAACAGGAAGGGTGACAAGGTCTTCAAAATAAAGGAAATTTCAAGTCTCTTAACTGAAAAATTTGCAGAATTCTATTCAAACATATTTGGAAACAGATGAAATAGTTAATTTTCTAGAAAAACACAACTTACCCAGATTGGCCCCAAGAGACACAAAAAGTCTTGACAGACTAATTGCATACAAGACATAGTGAATTTGGTTAGATTATCTGCCATCAAAAAGCACCAGACCCAGATATTTCCCAAAGAGAATTCTAGCCAAACTTTCAAGGTTTGATAATACCAGTACTATTTAAAATAGTCCAAGGGCGTAGGGAATATATAAAACAATGAAGCAAGTACATAAAGTTGATTCTGAAACATGCCAAAAACTGCAGGAGAAATGAAATTACAGAATAATCTCATTACAGAGTATGAACTAATGTTCTTAAATAAAATATTGGTAAACAAAATGGACATAAAATATAGGTCATGACCTTATGGGGCTTTTACATATATAAAGGTGTTTCAATATCAATAAAACTATTACTATAATCTAGTATATTGATACAGCCAAGGAAATAATTATATGATCGCCTCCATATGCAGAAAGGTATTTAACAGCATTAGCATTCCACAAGACAAAAGATCCAGATTTTAAGCAAGTAAATTAGAAGATTTTTAAAAAATGCGGTGGAACCCACTTTAGATTAAATGAGACAAAACATTTCAGAGAGAGTTAAATTAATGAAAAATTAAATCAAAGAAATTACATTTAAAACTACAGTGAGATACCACCATACACCCACAAGAAATAAAAAAGATTGAAAATGCCAAGTATTGGTGAGGATGTGGAGCAGTGGACCTCTCAACACTGCTGGTGGGAATACAGATTGGAACACTTTGAAAAACTGTTTGGCAGTATCTAGTGAACTGAACATACATATACCCTAACTCAGAAATGCCACTCAATCATATATGTCAAAGTAAAGTAAAAATAAATGTCCATCTAAAAGATATGTACAAGAATGTTCAAAGCACTGTTATTCATAGTAGGTCAAAGTTTGAAAAATATATAAACCTTCATACCAGATACATATATTGTGAAATATCCATACAGTCCAGGCACGGTGGCTCACGCTTGTAATCCCAGCACTTTGGGAGGCCAAGGTGGGCAAATCACGAGGTCAGGAATTCGAGACCAACCTGGCCAACACATTTAAACCCCATCTCTACTAAAAATACAAAAATTAGCTCGGCATGGTGGTGGGCACCTGTAATCCCAGCTACTCGGGAAGCTGAGGCAGGAGAATAGCTTGAATCTGGGAGACGGAGGTTGCAGTGAGCCAAGATCACACCACTGCACTCCAGCCTGGACAACAGAGCTGGACTCCGTCTCAAAAAAAAAAAGAAAAAAAGAAATATCCATACCATGTAATACCATCCATCAATGAAAATGACTATCTACAACTACAGACAACAAAATGTAAATCACATATATATTATGTTGGTTGAACACAGCCAGACACAGGAAAACACATGTTTTATGATTTCAGGAATTGTTTTTCTAACCTTCCAATAGTGTTTGGGGAAGGAGAGAAAAATCAACATTCAATATCCTTTAAACTTTTTTTTAATTTTTAATTTTTGTGGGTGATAGTAGGTGTATATATTTATGGGGTACATGAGATATTTTGATACATGCATGTAATGCATAATAGTCACATCATGGAAAATGGGGTGTCCATCCCCTCAAGCATTTATCCTTTATGTTACAAACAATCCAATTATATTATTTTAGTGATTCTAAAATGTATAATTAAATTATTATTGATTATAGTCACCCTGTAGTGCTATCAAATACTAGGCCTTATTCATTCATTCTATTTTTTGTACTCATTAACCATCCCCACCTCTTCCTCACCTCCCAGCCTCTACCCAGACTCTGGTAACCATCCTACTCTCTATCTCCATGGGTTCAATTATTTTTTGAGTTTTAGTCCCACAAATAAGTGAGAACATGTGATATTTGTCTTTCTGTCCCTGGCTTACTTCACTTAATGTAATGACCACCTGTTCCATTCATGTTGTTGCAAATGACAGAATCTCTTCATTTTTATGGCTGAATAGTACTCCATTGTGTATATGTACCACATTTTCTTTTTCCATTAATCTGTTGATGGGCACTTAGGTTGCTTCCAAATCTTGGCCATTACGAATAATGCTGCAACAAACATGGGAGTGAAGATACTCTTCGATATACCGATTTTCTTTCCTTTGGATGTATAGCCAGCAGTGGGATTGCTGGGTCATATGGCAGCTCTATTTTTAGATTTAGATTTTGAGGACCCTCCATACTGTTCTCCATAGTGGTTGTACTAATTTAGATTTCCACCAACAGTGTATGAGGGTTCCCTTTTCTCCACAGCTTTGCCAGCATGTGTTATTGCCTGTCTTTTGGAGAAAGCCATTTTAACTGGAGTGAGATAATATCTCATTGTAGTTTTGTAGGAAGTGCAGAAAACTTGTTTTAGAGCTTTAACTTTGGGAAGAAGGAAAGAGAGAAAAAGAAGTGGAGGGAAGAAAGATATTCAATCCTGTGGCTGAATAGGTGGTGAGGGGTTAAAGGAAGAATTTTTTTAAATCTTCAATTTCTTGAAATTTCAGTAAGTTTAAAAGCTAATGTGAAGAACCCATTTCATCTCGTATTTAACCCTTGAATTTTCCTATATATTATTTTGTTTCTTACTCTCCTATTTCCACTTTAGAGCTCATAAGATGTCTCCAGTGGACTAGTATATGTTTTGAGCTCAATATAAATATAGTTATTAGATAAGGAAGGAATGGACAATTGTGTGTCACAGAAATGCTAGTAATTTCTGGATTTTTGCCTCGCAGGGAGGTAGCAGGTGGCTGAAATCCTGGTGTGATGTGACTGGATCATGCATGATCTGAGGACCCTTGCCCTGTTGATTGGTGGACAGGTTCAGATTTTTCCTATGAACATATTAACATACCAAACTGTCCAGAAGCAGCTATTAAGCAAACACCATACTTTGCTTTCCTCATGCAGTCTATCACAGAGCTCTTCAGGTGAGTTCACAAATATGCTTGTCCTTCCAGTGTGAGGGAACTTGATCTGAGTCTGCTAAGAGGCATGATGTTGAATGACTCCTATGACCTTCTGATAATACCTAAGAATATAGAAAACTTTCTATCTCAAAAACTTTGAACTCAAGGCATATCAGAGAGATATTTGCTTCTTTCTTCTAAATGTTTGTGTTCTTATTAGGAGAAATAATGAGAAATGATTTTTCACAATGTCTTCTGAGCCCTGAGGCTCAGCCAGCCCCTACTGCTGTGTCTCAACATTTAAAGGCCATTGAAGTCTCGCTCCATTCCGTATATTTTGGACGAGGTTTCTCATTTATGCCTGGGGACAGTTCTGTAATAATGGTATGGTCAGTTCCATTTCACAGATGACTAAACTCAGGCTCACAGAGTCTAAGTCACCTCCCTAGGTAAGTGGCAGGTTTGGAATGAGGTTCCATCCCTCACCCTCCCTAGAGGATCCTTAGCACCTCCCTTTTAGAAATTGGGCTTCCAGGACTTGAGAAATGGTCATATTCCACTCTCCTGCTGTTGTGGCCCCAGAGGTGCTCACTCTACAACCTCTTGAGGTGATGAAGATGATAGAGGAGATAAAATCCCTATCAGCATCTAGTTTTTAGTTATTCTAAAGTTTTCTTCACTTTGTCTTCATGCCTCCTGGTCCCTGAATGATCTAATTTCCTTGGGGGCTGCCATTCCAAAGGGAGCATTCGACTTTTTCTTAAAAAAAATGTATATATATGTGATCTGTAAAGTTTTTAAGTCATAATATTTTTGAAATTGAAAATCAATTTTGAAAGTAATAAAAAACATTAAGAATTATCTTAAAACATTAGAGAAAGTATTCACAAACTGTACCTTATATATAGGATTAGTATCCATAATTTGTGACACACACTAATGACAAAGATATTGGTAATTCATTTCAATAGAAAATTTACATAAAATAAACATGAAGAATAATCTTGTTAAATATGCGAAAACCAGAGTACTAATAAAATGCAAATACTTAAAAATCCTGAGAATGTATATAAAGTGGGAAAAAATTGCAACAGAAGATGAGGACTGTGATTGCACTTTTGGAGAAGACTGTGTTTATCGGGTGAATGTGTTCATGTTCACCTCACCTACAGGGACACATCTGAAGTGTATGCAACGTCCTTAGAACAACAGATCCCTTGGGTCAGGCTGTTGATTGCGATTCTTGTTGTCAGAAGGTGACTCTGACTGCTATGTGGGGAATGGATTGGAAAGGGACAAGATAGGGAGTGGGGATAACCATTCGAAAAATATTGCAGAAGTCCAGGGAAGAGACACAGGTGGATGGGACCAGGGCTGCAGCTGTGTGCAGAGGGAGGAGTGAACCTGGACAGGGCGTGTTTGAAGGTAGGGCAGGCAGAAATTGAAGTGACTGTGCATGTAGGGTGCATGGGGATAAGGCACAGTCAAGGATTACCCCTCAGCTTTTTATATAGCCATGTGGAGAAATAGCACAGTTTTCTGAGAGCAATCCTTCCATGTGCTCTTGAGATATTCTCAAGGTAGTTAGTTAGGTCATCCAAATGTGTTTGTAGTGAAAGAAATTATTTAAAATGCATCAGTTGATGATTAAGATTCTGTTGTATTAAACTTTATTGAAGACACATGCAAACTGTCAAACTTTTAGAACTTGAAAAATCTCAACATGCAAACTCACATTTAATGAGCAGTTTGCTATGTGCCGACCACTGTTCTAAGGGCTTTCATGCCTCAACTCAAGTAATTCTCAAAACAACAACCCATGAGGTGGGGATAATTGTTTTCCCCATTGTACCTTAAAGACAATTGAAGTATAGAGTGGTTCTGTTACTCTCACAAGGTCACAGAGAGTCAGTTATGCTGATATCTCTGCAGTAGAATTTTTTAAATTATGGGATTCCTGACCAGGCACGGTGGCTCACGCCTGTAATCCCAGCACTTTGGGAGGCCGAGGCGGGCAGATCACGAGGTCAGGAGATCGAGACCATCCTGGCTAACACAGTAAAACCTCGTCTCTACTAAAAATACAAAAAATTAGCCAGGCGTGGAGGCGGGCACCTGTGGTCCCAGCTACTCGGGAGGCTGAGGCAGGAGATTGGAGTGAACCCCAGAGGCGAAGCCTGCAGTGAGCCGAGATCGCGCCACTGCACTCCAGCCTGGGCAACAGAGCCAGACTCTGTCTAAAAAAAAAAAAAGATTATGGGATTCCTGACCAAAATGGCAAGGCAATATTTGTTTAAAAACATTTTGTCTTCTTAGGTCAGTATTATCCTTGTTTTACAAATGAAGCATTTGACTTACTGCAAGGTGAAGCAAAAGTATTCAAAGTCTCACAAATTTAAGAAGCAGGGTTGGGCCCTAGTCTGTCTCCAGAACCGACACTCCTAACCAGTATACTTAGAAAAGAGGAAAAAACATTTGCCAAACCATGTCAGCCAATGGTGATTGATGGTAGACAGAACCATATGTTTTTGAGTGATAACTATCCTTCAGTAGCCTTTCTTCCATGTACCAGATGATATTTATTTAAGAAAAACAAACAAGATATAATTGTAAAAACAAAAGAGTATGATTATTTTTGAAAAGATAATAATCATCACAGTTAAGTTTTCCTTAGACAACCTGGCTGTTGAAATAATTCCTTGAACTTCCACAGTTAATTCTATTCCCTTTCAGGAACTCAGAGTGCTTTTACAAATGGAAATCACATTTATTCTAGTTTCTATCCTTCAACTGCTTGAAAGGCAGGGCTGGTCTGATTTCCTTTGATGGGTGAGGCCATTTCTCCTGGGGATGCACCAAAGAGTGGCATTTCTGAGTCATATGACATGTGTATCTTCAGCTCAGTGGATACTGTCAAACAGTTTTTCAATGTGGTTGTTCCAATCTATATTCCCACTAGCAGTGTTTAGACTTCTACTGCTTACATCCTCATCAACACTTGGTATTTTCTATCTTTTTCATTTTTCTCTTTCTGGTAAACATGTGGCAGTATCTCCTTGTGATTTTAATTTTACTTTCTCTTTAACTCTCCTTGAAGTGTTGTCTCTTAAAAGCTATCTGTTCTTTAAAAAAGAACCTTTCTATTTATTTGCTTACAAAACTGGATCTTTCATCCTTTGGAGAGTGCATTATGGATTTTGCTGATTGGATTCTTATTGTGTTGTTTATTAATTTCCTCTAGCCCCTCTTACTTTTTTTTAATTGGTAATTAGATTTAGAAGTTTGATCAAATTCAGCTTATTCGGCCTGAGTACCTCAGAAGTGGTGTCCTTTATTACTAAAGTGTCAAATTAGTAGGCTCATTGGCTCAGGTTTTCTCTCCTCCTGTAACCTTGAAATTGATCACTGTATTTCAGTGTTGTCACCCTGATCCATCCATTATAAAATTTCCGGTAGCATTTCATCATAAGATATTTGAACCTCTGAAGTAGGCCTAGGCCCCCAAAACCCATTTAATAAACTAATTAGATGTAGACATAGGAGTATGCAAGGAAACAAACTATGTATATGACCTGTCCATCTTTTTGTAAACATATGAATATTTCAAAGAGAGTTGTGGTCATACTGTACTTATTGTTTCATTATCTAGTTTGAGGAAAATTTTGTTTCTGTTTATGCAAATTATGCCTTTTCATTGGAAGAAAGAGAGAATGCTCTCACCTGGTGCCCAGAGTCAGAATTGCAGAAATGGAAGTCAACCAAGAGCTTGGAAAGGCGTAGGAGATTTGAGGGGAGTAAGGGAGGCACATGTATTCTATTGTATAGAACTGTAGAGAACAAAGCTTTCTGGAATTTCCTATATGCGTGTGTCCAGAGCAATGAATATGTGGGCATCATAAATATAATCAGTTCACAATTATAGTGTTTTTTGTTGTTAACATTTTGAACAATGAAACTTCCACATTTAAAACACTAGGGAATTGCAAATTTATAAAACAAATATCCTCTATCTCCCTCCAATGCAAATATACTGATTTATTAAATAAATGTTTTTAATATACTATTTTTGTACCACAGCATATGAACATGATTCTTAGTCAATAAATGTATTTCTACGCTATCATTTTGTGACTATGGTCACAGATTTTCCTGATTTACAAAACATTATCTTAATGACTTTGTCACATTATTAACTTTTTTATTGTTTAAGCCATATGAAACATAATTGAAATATATATTAGAAATTAAAAATATTCTGTCCAAATCTTCTCCATCTCCATAATACAAAGATGGCCTGTATTAATTTACTGGTATCTATTCTCCAGATCTTTTTCTGTCCATGTAGTATACTAACTTATTTTTAGCCACACACATACCTATAAACCCATGTAGAGAGAGATAGATACATGTATTTTCACAGTGGAACCATATACTGCATTATAACTTATGACTTTGCTGATTGACTAAATCGGATTCTTTTTCATTTTGTTTGTGTGTCTACAAGTGTTTTGGAGAGATTAATATTGGTTTTTATTGCATTGTCTCTTGTGTTTTGGAGAGATTAATATTGGTTTTTATTGCATTGTCTCTTGATATCATTGACCTATCTCTGTAGTTTAAGAGTATTTCATACACAGAGGATAAAAACCTAGATTAAACATGCATACAGCATTTATATATTAACCTATAAAAACTACCTTATCTAACATTTGTAGTGTAACTTGCGTGTTTAACTTTAGTAGGTAGAATTGTGTCCCCCTCAAAACATGTCCCAATCCTAACCCACCCAAACTTTATTTAGAAATAGGGTCTTTGTAGATATAATTAAGTGAAAGATCTCCAGAAGTAAATATCCTGAATGTAGGTTGATGCCTAACTCCAATGACTGGTGTCTGTATAAAAAAAAGCAGAGGGAGATTTGACACACACAAGGAAGAAGGCCATGTGAAGATTGAGGTAGAGATTGGAGTTGTGCTGCCTCAAACCAAACAAAGGAGGAGCTGGAAGAGCTAAGAAAGGAT